ACGTGACTCCAATAACAATTGAAGGGAGGGAGTCGAGTGGAATGAACAATTCTGGGGGAGAATTACACTTCACTCTAAACAATTGCTTCTAACACTGGCCAGTTTTGTCACTACCTCTGAAGTTATTGTTTCAAAAAATGAAATCAGAAACTCTCAGTATTTATTTTAGTTGCTACATTTACTTTAGATGTTTTACAAAATTTCGAATACCGCGTGAGAACGCCCTTTCAGCCTTAGAATAATTTCTAACGCTTTGCCAAATGTTTTAATTTTGTTAGCTCCTGACGAGGACAAAAGAATTTTGTCGAAACGTCGAACAATAAAAAGATTCACTGGCCGAAGTGTCTTTTATTTGAAGAAATATGAATGCCGGCCAACATCTAAAAGCTTATGATTATTTATGATTATGCACAGAGTGGCGTATTCGTCTTTAAATAGGGCATAAAATTGGGACTCCGAGCATACTGGCTATGCAACAATGCCCAGAGCTGTTGCAAGCCCCAACTTTGAGTTATTATAATACACTACGACTAAAATGAAATGTAGACATTTTTCATAAATCTGCCTCCAGTTTATTGAACGCTATATTACAAAACCTTTTTATAAACTATTAACCATTGTTGATTTTTGCTTGGAAACGTTTTCGCTAAACTTTCAAGGAAATAAAATATCTAAATATAATACTGTTTAATATGATGCATTAGCGCACCATCTGTTTAAAGAAATTATTATTTAAAATTGTTTATATATATATTTCTTATAATATTGTTTATATATTTATGAAGAGAGGGAGAGGGAAAGAGAGAGATCAGTTATTTAATTTATATATTCTTGATTTGAAAGGGGAGGGGTCTGGTATTTAAGGAATCATAATATTATCACGTAGAAAATTAGGAAAGACAAACTTCAGGATCACACTACAATTTATTTCAGGCAAGAACAAACTATGAATGATAAACAAAAGATAAGCAATGAGGGAAGTTTACAGAGTAGCAAAATATAAATGAAAAATGACACTCTGCTAATAAATTAATAAATACTTCACTACATAGCTCCTTTCCTATTTGAGTTGTGACCCACAGCTAGCAATTATTGTAGTTACTGACACGGATCTGACGTGCTTCTGCCAAGGATTCTATTGAAGTCTTGGAACTTTGTCCCTAGTACCTTTGAAGAGCGGCTTTGTCGTCGTATCGTCATCTTGAAAGGAAGTCCTGGCTTTAACACGGCGGTGGAATCCTGGAGTTAGTCTCCAAAAAATGTAGATCACAGCACCCATGGCCTTTAGGTCTTCTGGGCCATCTTCAGTTTGTCTTTCCTAATTTACCCAGCATCTCCACCAAAATATCACGTGGAAAATTAGGAAAGGCAAACTTCAGGATGACACAGCAATTTATTTAAGGCAAGAACAAACTATGAATGGCAAACAAAATATAAGCAATGAGGGAAGTTTACAGAGTAGCAAAATATAAATAAAAATGATACTTTACTAATAAAGTGATAAATACTTGCTACAATATATATCACATAGTTTTATATAAAAGCCTGTTTTATGCCTTTATATTAATTTATTAAAGAGAGAGAGAAATTTCACTTTTTCACTTTTTTTACGATTAAAAAATATATTTAATTGTTGAAAATATTTTTAGGTTTTCAGATTTATTTTATTGAAAGGCTATATTCTATTTTCTAATAATACACATAGGGACATACATGTTATAAAATGCTTGTTATATGTTACACAATTTTCAAATATTTGTTTGTATGCATGTCATTGATATTTAAAATTTTGGTTTGTTTCCTGAAATACTAAAAATATGCAAAATAGCTAAGAGAAAAATAAAAGAAGAATACAATTCTTAAAGGATTTTCACATCGACACCTATAAAACATACATCGATAAAGCATTTACATAGATTGGAAAACTGAGTATTTTTCAGTGAGCTATTATTCTCCAAGTAGCGTTAGATAAAAAAGGTTTAGAATTTACTCAGGAACAGCCGGGGATTTATCTTAAAGAATATCATCGCTCGACTTTCTTCTTTCTTTCTCAGAACGGCTTGTGGAGATGAAGAATTCCAGATGTCCCTTCAGTGAGAGATCAGTGGTTTGTAAATAATCTGAATTCACTTTTGAGGTTTTTGATTTTTGTTAATTTTTTACTATGATTTTCTTTTCATTGTCCCATTGTATAATTATACATGGCCATGGTGACTATATTCATTGATCAAATTCACAATTTTGGTAGGGTTGGAATACAGGTCTTGTCTTGAGGCTCACATGCATTTGCTATCATTTTGTTAACTGAGTGCCAATAAAATTAAGATAATTGTTGATTATCTCTCTCTCTCGTCTATTTATTTCTAATTCCTTGTATATAGTTGATCTCCCTATTGGACTGTAGAGATTTAGTAACTTGCTCACTGGTTCGAAACATATTTTAATGGCCCTTAATTCTTGTACAAGTTCGGTCGCACTAGTGAATGTAAGCTATCAAATGCGGCTTTGTCATCTTGCAGATGCCCAAAGTCAAATTGTATAGGAAATGAAAGCATTAAAGCACGAAGGTTTATTTAACACATAAAAAAACGTATACTGTCCTTACTGTGATGAAAATATTTTGGGAGAAATTGGTTAATCAGTGGTGAACCCTCCCAGTGGTTTCGCCAATTTAATCCTCCAGACTGATTCTTAGAGCTCTAAAACTGTATTGAACAATTCTGCTTATATATGCTGTACTGAAGGATGGAATCTTATAAATGGTATTCAAACAAACTATGGATATAAGCTTTTGAGACTGTAGAATTACCTATGTTGTGCACTTACAGTCAAGCCACTTACATTCCCCTACTCTCAATGATTATCATGGCTTGTACCATGTTTACTTGGGAAACGAATATCTCTTAGATTTTCTATTTTATTGCGCGCAATGATTTTTCAAAATCCGCTTTCTAAAATACGCGCTATTTGAGAATAAATTTGGCGTAAGTAGCCTTGTTACCAAAACAACTAACCGAGTATTTTTCGAACTCGCAAAACCGCGTGAAAATTACAAAAAGAACTAAAATATCGACTCTATTTAATATGTCAATTCTAATTTATTGAGGACATAATGTGATTATTCTTTAGGCAAAAAATTACACTGACTTTCTTCAATAAAAATATAAAATTCGAAATAAGTATAAAAATAAATTACAACATTTGGTTATCATTTTAAAGAAGTTACACTTTAATACATACAATCACAGTTTGGTTATTGCACTTACTGATAGGTTGGTTAGACCTTTGCAAATATTGGGGGGAAATTGAAGCAATTGTTTTTGAGAAGTGTGATACATTGAGGGTTTCGAACCTAAATGTTGGTTACCCTAATGTTTAATCTACTATACCAACAACATACGTATTTCGGGCTGTTGGTCCTCATCAATGTAGAGTAGGCAAGATTCAAAGACCCATCAAGATGTTTATAGAGAGAAACACTTTGATAAATAATTTAAATTTTTTATTAATTTCTGGAAAATCAGAGTCAAAGGGTTAGTGTACCTTCTTAATCAAGATTCCCCAAGACGATCTAGCCATAGTTTTGAAACAGTAAAAATAAACGTTGTCGGGTATTAAGCGGTTGATACGCAAATGATTTTATAATTATCCATTATCCACGTTGTACAGGCCATGATAATCATGGTGGGTCCACAACTGCTTTTACTGTAAGTACACCACATGTCTACACATATAAAAAGCGCAGTTCGAATTTTGCACTTACAAATGTGCCAGAGCCCTGTTTGATTATTTGCAATCATTGGTGGGGTTTGATATTTGCAATTTTCGAAAGTCATTAAAGATTTTTTTTTATTCAGAAAAATGATTCCAATTCGGGAAGCGGTTGATACGCAAATTGTTTTATAATTATCCATAGTACACATTGTATAGGCCATAATAATCATGGTGGGTAGTAGTCCACAACTGCTTTTACTGTAAGTTCACCACATGTCTACATATATAGAAAGCGCAGTTCGAATTTTACACTTACAAATGTGCCAGAGCCCTGTTTGATTATTTGTACTCATTGATTGGGTCGGTCTTTTGCAAGAATCAGGGGCCATTGGAGCAATTTTTTATTCAGAAAAAGAGATAAATGCAGGATTCGATCCTGGGTCGTAGGTTGAAAATCGACAGTTTATACCATTCCATTGCACCCCCATTGCACAAATGTTTTACAAGGAAGTCCTCTTGAACTAGAGCTGCCAATGCTTGTCCTTCAATCAATCTCCAGTATATACCATCATTTTTTATTACGCGGTCTATCCCATTTAGTCTTCGTTTTTTACTGTTTTAATGAGACACCTGTTCCTTCCAGCTAGTGATAACTTCTAGTTATTTGTGACATGTGTGACAGTCTACGGTATTGTCAACCAACCTCACCATATCTAAGAATAATATATAAAAACCTGATTTCTCTGTGGCTGACAATGTCCATACTTTGACCTCTCCATATATATAAAATGGTATTTTATACTAAATGTGACAAATTTAAATTTTTGATATTGTAATATCTCATTAAATATACGTTTTTAAAAATCATTTTATATGATAAATGTGAATGCTCTAAAAACTTGTAAACTCAAGAAATTAAATGGATATAAATCGTGATTTTATTGTGGTAATTGAACTTATATATATATGTTATATAAAAATTATATTTTATTTAAAAATTATAAATTCTAGAAAAAATAACTCTGTTTAAATCGACCGCTAGACGTCGCCGCTTTCCCTATATAAACCTATTGTTGTTGTTTCCCGTTGGTCGCTCTTGACATGAATCCTGCCAAGAAGAAAAAGAAGGCCTACAAGCCTACAACCCGCATCGTGAACGTCGCCGACCTGGAGAGGGAAGATGAGATGGTGATCTCACGCAACTGCAGCATCCTGAGCTCCATTGGCCATCCTGCCCTGAAATCCCTGCATGAGGACCTGATCCGCTACATCGCCTCGCGGACTGAAATGATCAAGGCCCTCGCTACCAATGTAGAGAACCTCACTGACACCCTCGAGTCCTTCGCAGAGTTGGACGAAATTGAGGAGGCCAACAAGCCCAAGACTGCTTGCCGCGGCACTCAAACCTGCCCTGCTCCTTCCTGCAATGAAACCAGCTCCCAGACTGACCCAATCAAGCCCGCCACTCCTGCTCCTGCTGCTCTCCCTGCCAAGAAGCCTGCCTCCTCCCTGCCTGCTCCTGCTCCAACCAAAAGGAAGCAGTCTGAAGCTCCCAACCCGCCTGCAAAGAGGACAAACCTGAATGGTCCTTCAAAACCAGTGCCTTCCCACGTCTCCAAGCCTGCGGCCGCCCAAGTGATCCTTAATGGAGAAAAATCGGCGGCCCACACAGTGGTCATCTCAGATGACCCACAGGCTGACCCAAGGGAGATGCTGAAAACAGTCCGCGCTGCTCACACTCTCCCCCAAGGCGTTTGGGCCTCCCTGCGCACCAAGGGGAAGCTGGTCCTCCATTCCAGCAATCCTGACACCATCCCTGAGGTTACAACCTCCCTGGCCAGCAAGCTGAATGGAATGAAGGTCCGCCAGCAGAAGGAGATCCTGCCACGGATCTGCCTCTTCAAAGTGGATGAGGAGACATCCAACTCCACAATTGAGGAGACCTTCCTGGAAACCGCTGCTGTTAGAAAACTTCCTGGGGACAAGGTGGTGCGCGTGGCGCACCGTTCTGCACCCAGAAACGGGACCTGCACCGCCTTCATCGAGGTGGACCTCAAGACCTTTAGAGCCCTGGGCGTTCGCGGGAGGATCGTGGTGGATGGAGTAATCCTCAACTTCGAGGAGTCCATCCGCGCCCGCGTCTGCTTCCGCTGTTGTGGCTTCGGCCACAACTCTGCCCAATGCACCAGAGCTCCTAAGTGCTTCCACTGCGGTGAAGACGGCCATGAAGGCCGAACCTGCCCATCCATTGCTGACCAGCGCACCTCCAAATGTGCCAACTGCTGCTCCCAGGGCCTTCCTGACAAGCACGAGGCGAGAGCCTCAAGCTGCCCCATCCTGAAGTCTAGGGCCCTCAAGTTCTAGGCTTCAAGGACCTTCTGCCTCCATTTCCATCTGCCACTTCTCCTGGATTCCTGGCCTATTCAACGCACCCGCCTCACTGCACCCTGGCGCTATTCCCCTGCTTGCCCAACGTTTCCACCACCCCTGCGAGACATCTCCTGCTTCCACATCCTAGGGTCCCTTGCCACCTGACATCGATTTTGGGCTCAAAAATCATAACTTTTGGTTAGTAGCCCGTAAATAAAGATATTTTCTCTTTCCCGTTGGTCGGCTCACTCAGAACTTTTGTAATTATGTAAATAATCTTTTGTTTTCCTTTTTCTACTCGCCTTAAGTCAGGCAGTACTTTATCAAATTCTGTTTTTATATTTTCCTTAAGCTCAATTAAAGCTAATTATGATCTAAACTGTTTTTATCATTCTGTTCACGACTCATTGCAATATCTACAATTTAAATATTCATGTATCAAGCAAATGATCAACAATTCTATAAATACTATTCAAAAATCATTAACAAATATATATATTTTAAATAATATAAATATATAGAGAGAGAGATGACTTTATAAAACATCTCTCTCTGCTTTTACACAAAAATATTGTTAAAAAGGAAAGCGTAATTCGGTTAATTAAATTACGATATTCGAATTACTATTTTTATTAAGATTCTTAAGTGCAACCTCCTTTTCCCAGGATTGGTGTACGTGCATCTAAAGGTTAATGATAGAACATTTTAAAACATTTATAGAAGTATTGTTGCTTCATCAAACATTGATGGAGATGAGCCAATCTGGAAAACTTAAAGTTCTTTTGATTAATTTTAAGATCCACGTCTGACGTTTATTTCTACCCCCTATTTTCTCGTGGTTATATACCTTATTTGAAATATATATATATATATATCGCTATTTATTTATGGAAATACCATTTTACTTATTGGTTTTATAATTTAGTCGTAAATTATTACCATCAACTTTTGTTTAAAACTTTACTTCCATCATTTTAACGACCCTCTGTCGTCTTTAACAAGGAAACATTTAACTACTGTTTTAATTTTATACAAATTCTGAATGATCTGGTGTTAAAAGTGTCCTGATACTCCAAGCAACGAGATATAGACAACGAAATTAACCTAACAATTTATTTAGGTAGGGATTAAAGAATTCCCATACAAACGATATTTTTCATTTTAGAGAGAAGAAAGAGAGGGAGTGTGTTGTTATATATATAACAATTTACACGCTTAAACTAACACCTACTCACATATTCTCATGCCCAGCAATGGCCGCAGCCTTGCAGAAAATTGACTTAGACCCAGAGCAGCAGCTTTACACACCCAAGATAGTGGATATTGCTGCTGCTGTGATGGAGATGCATGGAGACATCTGAGACTCTTCTTTGGACACGACAACAACAACAACAACAATTTACACGCACTTCTGGCCCTAAATACCTGTTTCATGATTTTCCAGGATGCCTGAATGACCAATTTTTTTGGTCGCTAAAGTACAGCTTTCACCACGCTAACGAGGGCCAACAGCCCGAAAGGCGTAGGTGGTTAGTTTTTCTTGATTAATCAAGATTGAATATTTGGCCAATTCTGGAATATTTTTTAAAAAATCAACGATTAGTTGATATTTATTACGATAGATGGCGCAAGCCATCCGCAACTTTTAGTTTCACGATCAGGAGATGCCTTTTTATCTCCATGGGGACCTTTGAAGCATATATTTTTTACAGAATAAAAATATAAGTAAAGGATATGAAGCGTACGAGGATACTTTTCTTTTAGAAGAAAAGTATCCTCGTACGCTTCATATCCTTTACTTATACTTATCAGAGGATTCCAACTTTCTATACAGAATAAAAATGCCCAGCATGCGGGATTCGATCCCAGGTTCTAGCTGTCGAATATCAACGGTTCATACCATTCCTTCACCAGCCCTTTGTGTGAAAATTAGTAACCATTTTCAGTGATAGGTGACACTAAGAAGTAAACGCTGTTAATTATATTACAGGAATGTAGATCGTAAACGCTACGACGATGAGAGGGAGGATTAGACCAATGTAAGCTGAGTCTAGGGAATACATGCAGCTCACACTAGAAACTATTTATCTATTTTTGAAAATAGAGCAATCCATATATAAATATTTAATTAAAAAGACATATATTGAATCAAAAAATCATTTATTTTACCAATATTTCAGTTGGCCGAACGCCAACCTTTATCAAGGTGTTATAACATATTTAATGTGTGTCAACAACAAACTCAGCGCCACATAACGTCAACAGAATTAAGTTTTAAAAATATTTTGTTATATTCAATGGGAAGAAAAATATGTAAATTGTATTTATTTCAATGGTTGTTCTTTGGTTGGATATGAAATCAAGCATGATATTAATGACTCTTTCTTTCTTTTCTTCTTTAACCTCTACTCAAACCTTGTAATTTATCAATTGTTTATGTAAAATAGTCTCTGAATTTAATGTTGTTTCTTGACGAAGGAATCCCTTTTGGGGATATCGCGTCTGATTTGATGATACTAAATAAAAAAAAGTAGGAAGCCAAATATAAAATGTTTACATTTCCTGATTTAACAGGAATTGAAAAGCTATTCCTCTCTTTGAATTAGATCTTTTGATGCAAGTTCTAAATTCTGAATCTTCCAGTTCTCTTTAAACTTATAAACAATTTCTTTCTATCACTGCTATATCTGATAGAATTGCTAAATATATTATAAAATGGGATTGATATTTAAACAGAGAATAAAGGATATACGGAGGGTGTTTCCTTTCAAATGAAACGATTTTCGAGCGCTCGCGTTTTGCACGTGCAGGCATGCTGCACACGACACTGGTTCCAATAGATCTAGAATCTTCTGGAGAATTCATTTTCATCAGGTATCATGATTTTTGCAACATGGGGGGAGAGAGACTAACGCTCCAAGTCGAACAAACAATTCGGACCCTTTCCAAAGAAGGAAACAGTTATAGCGTCATAGTGAAAAAGCTAAAAGCAGAAGGACTAGATGTTGGCAAAGCTACAATATGTAGGGTAGTAAATGGCATCGGAAAGAAAAGGGAAGCTGAATCCAATGGGCAAAAATTTCAAGTCGATCGACCACGTCCGGTGCGGACCCCCGCCACGGTTTCCAAGGTAAAGCGGCTAGCAACTACTGAAAATCCACCATCTCAGCGCCAACTTTCCAGAATGTGTGGAACATCGCTAAAAACGATAAATAACATCATTCACAAAGATTTGGAACTGGATACCCGACGAAAAGGCAAGGTTCACAAGCTCACCCCTTTCCACATGAAAAACCGTGCAACGAATGCCCGGAAGCTCTACGAGGAACACCTGGCCGGTTCCAGATCGGAATATACTGCAACATTGGACGAAGCATGGATGTATGTGACGTATTGCAATGGAATCCGGAAGATCTGTTACATCAAAAGAGGCAATCAGGTCCCGGATAATTGGGTTCACCAATGCTCCGAAACTTTCCCTAAAGGTTTCATGGTTGTCGGGGTAATGACTGGCCGTGGAGTCCTTCCGCTCATAAAGGTTCCATCGAAGGTGAAGGTGAACTCAGAATTCTATATAGAATGCGTTCTGAAACCTGTCATCGAACAACTGAAGGACCTTTACCCAGGGGAAATGGACAAAGTGTTCCTTCATCACGACAAAGCCTCTTCCCATACCTCCAACAAAACCCAACAGTTCCTACAAGAAATGAAGGACACCCTAGGCCTAAATTTTATCAGGAACTCGGACATTCCAGTGAAGTCTCCCGACGCCAGCCCACTGGATTTTTACGGGTTCGGTATGTTGAAACAACGGCTCTTCAACCGACGTCCCAAAACTGAGGCCGGACTTTGGAAAGCCGCACAAGAGGAGTGGTCGAATGTTTCGCTCTCCAAAGTCAAGGAAGTGTTCGCAGCTTGGAAAGTCCGATGCAGGGAGATAGCCAAGAAGAAGGGGAATAACATAGAACACATGAAAAAAATTCACGTTCGAAAAATAAAGTTCTAACGGACGTTTGAAATCGTTTCATTTGAAAGGAAACACCCTCTGTATATCATATTCTGGAATTGATTTGTCATGGATATGCCAGTTTGACTTTGAATATTTGAATATAATTTATAGTAAATTTAATTTTATCGGAGTTAGCATGGACCTTATTTTCAACAATATTTTTTTTTGTTTAATAACAAAATACATCATCTAATTATTTGTGCGGAACCACGACGATGATTTAGAAAGAAATCAGAACTTATCGTGAATTCATAATGAAACCGAGATTGTGATTGAATAATAAAAAATACAAGAAATCGAATATTCTACAAATCAATTGGCCAATTCTGAACAAAAGCTAATCTTAAACAATTGATTATTCCATCGTGAACCGAATGTGGAACCAATTGATTATTCCATCGTGAACCGAATGTGGAAACAATTGATTATTCCATCGTGAACCGAATGTGGAACCAATTTATTGGTCAATCGTGAACCGAATGTGGAACCAATTGATTGGTCAATCGCGAACCGAATTTAGAACCAATTGATTGGTCAATCGCGAACCGAATGTGGAACCAATTGATTAATCCATCGCGAATCGAATGTGGAGCCAATTGATTAGTCAATCGCGAATCGAATGTGGAACCAATTGATTAGTCAATCGCGAATCGAATATGGAACCAATTGATTAGTCAATCGTGAATCGAATTTTGAACCAATTAATTATCAATCGTGAACTGAAGGTGAAACCAATTTATTAGTCAAATGCGGATAGAATGTGGGACCAATTGATAAGTTAAACATCAACCAAATATGAAAATATTTTATTAGTCAAAGCCCACCCGAATGTGGAACCAATTTATCAGTTAAAAAAAACCGAATCGAATGTGTAACATCACGAATCTAGCGTGAAATAAATCATGAAACGAAGGTGAAGTCAAGATAATTTTCAATTACGAACAAAGCCTGGATCCAATAGAACAATCTAACAAAAGTCTAAATGAAACCAATCGATTGTCTATCGGCAAAGAAAACTCGAACTAAAGGATTGGTCCATCCCGAACTAAACTTGACCCCAGTAGATTGATATTCCTAATTCAAACGCGGGAAACAATAATCAGTCAATCACGATACTGATGTGGGGCGCCAAAGAATTATTCTATCACGAATATAATGGGCAGTCAGTCAAGAAATCAATGTATAATTAACAGATTTGTTATTTACAAACAGAATACATTGAGCCAATGTCGATCATTAACAGTGCTCGTATCAAATGTATTGTTCGAACAAAACCAACCGTAGAAACAATGGATTGGTGAAACAGCACCCGTACATGGAACTAATCGAGTGATCCATCGCGAATCAAACATGGTGCCAATTGATTATTCCTTCACGAATTGAACATCGTTCCTTATATTGGTGTATCGTAAACCTACCCTGGCTACCAATGGATTGGTCCATCGAGAACCAACCCTGGCTACCAATGGATTGGTCCATTGCAAACTGACCTTGGGTACCAAAGGATTAGTTCATCGTGAACCGATGTTTGTTGGGAATGATGGAGTAATGGATTCGCGGCTCTCTGATAAGTTGAAGGTTTGTCCTGTTTTACTTATATGTTGGAAGACTAAGGATTTTATGTCTTGGTTATTAATATTGCGCTTATGTTTGGTACCATGGTTAGAAATTAGAATGCAAATATTTAGGTGATGAAATGAATAAAATTCTTTAAAACACCTTCTGGAGATTCAGCAACCCACTGCAGACGCTTAGAACTATTTCAGAAAAGAAAATTACAGCAATAGAACTCTATAATTTCTACAGATCAATTGTAAATAGATTCATACGCAAAAGAGGTAGTGAGGAAAGTTTTAGAACAGATGTGTAAATAAATCCCTTTTCAAACAAAGGCTCACGTGCACATGGGGAAAGGGAGGAAAAATTACTGTATTATCTTGTTGTTGTATGCCGAATCCATACAGGGCAATGGGCCCTAATAAAAGATTTTTTGTTGTTGGTACTCTGGTTTTCATCTCTTCCAAATCTAGCCTACCTCTCATCTTGAATTCTTTGCATTCTATGAGGCAGATCCCATTCTTCCTAAATCATGAGTACTCAATTGTTGTTGTTATTGTGTTTCTTATCAATGGACCTATATTTGAAGAGTTTCTATACAAAGTGTTTATACAGAATTTCTTCAGATGGCGTGCTATTGTGATGGATATTGATGAATATGGAATATTGCATATTGACTTGTAAATGGGGGTTTAGACTTGAAGATGGGTTGTGAAAATGTCGTAAAATGAATGATAAGTGATATCTTCAAGTTTAGAGATTTGTTAAAATATTCTGGGTTCGTTTGTTTTAAAGGTTTGGAGGAAACAGTGGGTATGGACGCGTTTATTTAAATGCCTTTATTGTGTTTACTTGTAACTGAGTGGACAGGAGGAAAAAAAATTGATATAGTTGAGGTTGAAGGACGGCTTGTGAAACACGGTTGTTTGGAACTGTTGTTGCATGCGAATGATTTGTATGTCTAGAAACGGAAGGCTATTTTTGTTTCTAACGATAGTTACAATAATTGGGGGGGGGGGGTAAAACATTCACTGGTTTGTTAAACATTTATTCAGGCAATCTGGGACGAAACCGGTTCATTGTTCTGGTATATTATAATAAGGTGAAACATTTCTCTTTACAAATGTGTCTCTTCAAGGACCATGCTTCTTTAGCGACCATACCTATTCAACGTCACGCCTCTTTAATGACCACGTCTTTATAACGACCACATCTCTTTAACGACTACGACTCTTTAACAAGCATTCCTCTTCAGCAACCACAACTTTACGAACCACGCCTCTTTAACGACCATTCCTATTTGAAAACCACGCTTCTTATACAACCACGCCTCATTAATGACCACGCCTCTTAACAACCCACTAAAAGAACAAAGAAACAGACTATATTAAAGACAAAACTAATCACGATGTTTACATCCAACAACCCGCTATAAGGACAGAGAAAGCAGAAATGACTTCCAGGCCTCCCGGTGAAATCCATTTGCGCCAGGTGTAATCAGGCGGGACGGCCGAGACATCGGAATTTCACGTCCCTGTTGAGGTGATTTACCGCCGAATCCATTATTCATCCCAGCGGGCAGGAATGATTCCTAAGGACCATTACATGGAGGAGGACTATCTACACTAATCTTTATTCTAAGCTTTGGATCAAAGATTTACCTCTCGTATCTTGCTCATGTCATCATCAACTTCTTCTTTGTATCTGTCATCTACTTTAAGCAATGTTAACCACCTACGTATCTAGAGGGTTTGGCCTTTTTCTGTGGAAAAACACATCGACTATAGTTGCTACTATACTATATGCTTTAGTGCTTATATGACGTCTGTTTTATCAGCGCTATGATTGGATGTTCACTATCAAGTAACCTTTACCAGGTAGACAACCATCCACTCTCCCTACTGAATCTATTCTTTTATTTTATTTTTCCTAGTACACGTGACACACACACACAAGGCCATGATAATGATGGTGGGTAGTTAGCGACTGCTTTTACTCTAGTGAACCACATGTCTACACATGTGAAAATCATTTCGACTTTGCACTTACAAATGTCCCAGAGCCTTGTTTGTTTAATTGCACTTGCTGGTGGGGTTGGACTTTTTCAAGAATCGGGGGCCATTAGAGAATTTTTTTTATTTAACAAAAAGGGGCCAATGCGGGATTCGTTCCCGGGTAGTAGAGGTCGAAAACCATTGGTTTAGACCACTCTTCCACCGACCCCTGAATCTTTTCTTGTCAAGATGATGTTTGTTACATCTCTCCACCTTAACTACTGAATAGAAACTATTAGACACCTTTGCATATAGGTAGCTGAATCTATAGATTAACATATACACATTTGAAGACTTATATGATACAAATAACATATATTTTGCATATATGTTTGATTTATGAAATTATAAACATTATTATCCTACATTCTGACTCTGAATGACTCAGCTTCTCCAGGCTTCTAGTGAATGTTTCCAAGGTAAATTGAACTTTTAAAATGTTATTGACTATTAATTTTATCAATTTTACTCTTGATTAATTGACGCGAGGATTCTAATTAATATATGATTAATAATATTCTCATCATTTGTTTAAATATTTCGATTTCTTTTATTTTACAAATTATTCCACTTCAGAGTGATAATATATAAAACCTGAAACTTGTCCTGTTCATTCGACTAGTAATCGATATTCAAATGATGAATCATGGTTATTTATTCTAAGATATGAAGCATTTAAATAAATATATTCAAATTATATTTATATTTATAAATGTATGTAATTCTGCTGTCCTCAAAGCTTATGTCCATAGTTCATCATTCAAAGAGTCTAGCATCAGTATCACTATAAAAGGAAGTTCGAAAAATACAATTTAACAGCTGTATGGTAGATTAAACTGGCGAAACCGCTGGGAGGGTTCACCACTGATGAGCTAGGCCCTCCCATTAATTTTTCCATTGCAGTAAGGACAGTAGAAATTGTTTATTTTTAAAAAGATTCATACGCGTCTATAATAGTTTCGAATTTTGATAACAGATGGCGCGCTAATGCATCATAATACAAAATATTATTGTATTTATAAAATTCTTTAAAAAATACTTATGACGTAGGCGATACAATATCATCGAAATGTAAGTTTAAGGAAAGAGATCAAGATAGTAATTTGATCGCTGCACGTTTTCCAATAGATTCAGAGTTAGGACGGGATTGTCCCTGAGGGAATGTAATCAAATTCTTATGGCTCGGTGACTATAGAAACTGACCCAATCTTTCTTACCCATAAAATCTCACCTCGTCTATGGCCTTGCCCGGGTACATCAGTTGGCAAGGATATCCAGCGACCTTTCCATTTTTATAGTTTCATCTTCTATTGTTGAATATTGCCAAAGATGTTTGCCAGTAGGATTTTACCTCTCACACAGAAGCCTTTCCGTATCTTTAACAACTGAAAAAAATCTCTGTTGTTATTTACCTTTTGTACTTGTGGGTCCATCAACAGCAATGTACCTAATGGTAGAAACGATCAGTAAATGGTACAAAATATAGCTATTTATAGATGGAAATTTTTCCGGGAGGATATTGATCTAAAGAGACTAAGGTCGCCTCTCCCATCAAAATAGACTTCAAATTCAGACGCCATCTATTGACCGTCGCCGCAAACTAGCGGCCTCGGGTCGGTGACAAAGCGGTGAAAAGGTGGACCTTTTCAGTTTGTCAAAGATGGTGTTGTGGCTTTGTCACCGACCCGAGGCCGCTAGTTTGCGGCGACGGTGAATAGATGGCGTCTGATTTTGGCGTCTATTTTGACGGGAGAGACGACCTTAGTCTCTTTAGATATCTATTTATTTTGAAGGAAGAAACCTGTATGTCATTATTATATTGAATTCTATATTCTATATTTTGAGATATAGGCGTGAAGACTCCTCCCGAAGCGTGAGTGAACCACCCCAGCTAAGTCCCAGCAGGTCTGTGGACCCCACCATACAATTCCTTTTCCCAAGAACGTCCATTGTATGAATGATGTCGAGCCAACAATTTTGACAGAGATGGCTGGCGTTGTATCGTGTTTGGGATGTAATACTTACAGTGGACCACAACGTTCGATCGCGAATAAAAGGATTTTACTACATTTTATAGCATGATATCTAGTAGATCATTACATATTTGAATAGAAATATTCGAGGATATTTTTAAATATATCTGCCATGCTGGCTGATTCCTACAAGTGGAAATACTCAGGACAAGCCTCTTTGATAGATCTATTTTGATTGTGACTAATAAACACTCATGGACAAACATTAAGTAAGTTGTACCTTTTAGTATGTCTATCGGGATTCAGACAATAACTCTGAAAGATATTTGATACACAGTGACCTTTATTGAAGATACACAAGATAACCAAGTGTGAACGAAATTATCTTTGTTTTCTTAAAGAAAAAAGAAAAAAAAGACGACCGGTGATATCAAAGATTTTCCATTTCCTTAAATTTTGTCCATAAGTGTATATGTACAGGTTATGATAACTCTTATATAACTGTATAAGTGTTTTATTATCGTCTTTGCAATGATATCTTACGATTCCTCTCCTATTGTAACAAGGAAATCTATTGACGTAAGTACTCCTAGAGAATTTGTATCCCTTAAAACATCTGCACTGAACCATTAGATATCGCTTCAATGCTAAACAATACGCCAAACATTAGAATTATCTCCTAGTTACATATTTACTATAGAGAAGTGGTGATGGTACATATCTCCAGTAAACGTGGTTGTTGTCGTCTCCAATGAAGAACAAAGGCTCTAAATTGGAAAATGAGTGCCGTTGCCACGTTAGTCACCTTAGAAACGAACCAGAATTTGATCAAATATTCCAAGGATTCAGGGGGAGCCGCAGGAAGGGGGGTCGGAATTCTCCCCCCACCCTCCCCCCAGCACACTTGATACAGGCCATGATAATCATGGTGGGTAGTTAGCGACTGCTTTTACTGTAAGTGAACCACATGTAGAAAGCAGTTCGACGATTCAACTTATAAGTGTGTCAAAGTCCCGAGTTATCCTTATTTCTCGCTAACAATTGAATTGAAACTCCAGAACACATGTATCTATGTGTATACATGGCGTGTAACACTTATTATATTTACTTTTCTAGGTTCAGTAGTGGTATAAACCGGCGATATTTCTATAGCTACGACTCGGGTTCGAATCCCGTATTGGATACTTTTTTTTTGAAAAGAAAATAGCTTCAATGTCCACCGATTCTTGCATAAATTCAATCCTAAAAACTAATGCTAAAAATTTCCCTCGGTAGTGCATTCACCATTCTGTACGAACGTCTACATAAGCGATACTGACACACATCTACTCGCATTCACTTCTATTCAGGAAAAGATCTATGGGAAAACCCCAGGACTATAATAGAAAATCTGAGACAATGGGACCTAATGGAGATCGTTTAAACGACTTGAGGAATAAGCAACAGCAATTCAGGTGTCTACAATATCGACAGCTGTTTCTCACTGACAATACTTTTATGTAGACGTTCGTACAGAATGGTGAATGCACTACCGAGGGAAATTTTTAGCATTAGTTTTTAGGATTGAATTTATGCAAGAATCGGTGGACATTGAAGCTATTTTCTTTTCAAAAAAAAAGTATCCAATACGGGATTCGAACCCGAGTCGTAGCTATAGAAATATCGCCGGTTTATACCACTACTGAACCTAGAAAAGTAAATATAATAAGTGTGACACGCCATGTATACACATATCTATGTATACACATAGATACATGTGTTCTGGAGTTTTAATTCAATTGTTAGAGAGAATTAAGGATAACTCGGGCCCCTGGAGCGCAAGAAACGCCAACTGCCCGGATATATGTTATCTAATAGATTTATTTGTAAGAAATAAAACTAATTAAACATAAATGTTTATTTAAATAAAACATACTTTATACAATGTGAAAAAATAGTACAAATGTGATATTGTACTGGGATAAGGTGCATAAATTATGAAAAAAGGCATCTCCTTATCGTGTAACTGAAAGTTTCTGATGGCTTGCGCCATCTATCGGAATAAATATCAACTATTAATATCTCTTCAGAATAGTTGATATTTATTCCGATAGATGGCGCAAGCCATCAGCAACTTTCAGTTGCACGATAAGAAGATGCCTTTTTCATAACAAAACGTTATACAGTCCCTACTACAATGAAAGATTTGTGATTTACGAGTGGAACAATATAATACACTGCGGCCTGTGATTGCAAAATGACACTTGAAGTTACACCGCATGAGTTTCTTTTCAATGAAAAATCAAAATTTTATTTCAAGGTGAAATATTGACTATTTCTAACCTTTTTGGATGAGGTATGAAAGGGTGAATTAAGAAGAGTAATGATGAACGGAAAAATACGTCCAGGGTAGCCTAGTGGACATGGCATCTGCCCGATAAGCGGAACATTGTGGGTTCGGTTCCCATCCCTGGACACTTTTATTTTTCCGTTCATCATTACTCTTCTTAATTCAACCTTTCATACCTCATCCAAAAAGGTTAGAAATAGTCAATATTTCACCTTGAAATAAAATTTTGATTTTTCATTGAAAAGAAACTCATGCCGTGTAACTTCAAGTGTCGTTTTGAGTGGAACAATGTTACTCTATATATCAAATAATATTCTATAGAGAATAAGAAATTTATTTCATTATGTCTGTATCCTCATGTATACATAGATACATGTGTTTGAAGTTTATATGTTAATTTTGTATTTATTCCTATTTCTTAATTCATAGAAGCACTTTTCTGGCAGACATATTCAATTTTTTTTATCATCATCATTTTGGGATATTATTTATTTTCTTAGTTAGTTATCAAATCATTTGCAATATTGTAGTTTCTTTTCTTTATTTTTTTTGTGTTCCTTTTTAAGCAATAAAATATATAGAACTAAGCTGTAATATTCAATTCAAGCATATGGAACTAACATCGATTCATTTTTAAAACAAAGCAAAATCATAAGCATATACAACTTTCACTTTTTTATACAACATGTATGTATAAAACATCTCGTAAAGACAAAATATTTCATAAAGAGAATATATAAGAGGTCATGTAGAATCTTTCACAAAAATCTGTGTTTAAAAGACAAAACCAATATAGTTATCCAAATAGTTTTTAAAACTTTCCAGAAATGTTTCA